CGCTCTGAGTTGCCAGAGGGGTTGGAGCAGAAGAATAATCAATACTGTGTGCTTGTACTGGGGGCACACAAACACAACCTCTTGCATACAGAATGCCATAAAGACAGCAGCATCAGACAGGAAGAGGACAGAAAGGTATTTGTTGAGTGGGACACTTCCAAATTTTGAGAAGGTAAAAAAGAACCTAAAATTATTGATTCAGTATCAGATGGAGTGACTAAATGTTTCTTTATAAGTAGAGTAGGGGGAGATAGAAAAATGGATAGAAAAAGCTGTACCAGTTGAAATGCCCTCCTTCACAACACTATTAAAAGTACAGGGATGTTGTCCTCCTTTGCATCTGGTCACCAATGAATCTAGCAGAGTGACCAGCTGCTGATTCCTGCTCATAATGCTGGTCTGACCTGAGTCAGAAGGGCCAAGCTAGATGAGAAGCAGGAGGATCCAGGGATGGATCTCCCAAGAGCTTTTAACTTGGCAAACAGCATGGGGGGGGGTGATTTAGATCAGGGCCACAGTCCCCTCCCCAGCAGCATTTCGCCAACTTTAAATCGCCATGCCTCCTGGAACTGCTTTTTGCCTCATTAGGTAGTTGCCTGAATATCGCCTGGATGCTTCCCCCAATAAGCCAAGTAACAGTTACAGGCAATTTGTGGTCACAACTACAGCACACAAGGAAAGGGGTTAAGCTTTCCTTCCCTGCACCCAGTCCAAATTCGGGACCCTCTCTACAGTGTGTCTGGGTTTTTTTTTGCCAGCACTTGATAGCACAGTAAATGTGCAAAACCAGTTAGGCCAGTTTTCAGAAAGTGAAAGACTCAGTCTGGTTACAGGGCCATGCCCAGCCTCTTGCAATTACCACACAGAAATGAAGCTTTCTTCTTGGCTAATGTATGGCATTAGATGCCCAAGCTCAACCGTGCCTCAGTCAAATCTCTCTTCTTCTGCAGTCTCTTCAGCTCTTCCTGTTTGTTCCTAAGACCTATAAGGCCAGTGTTGTTGTTTGTTTCAAAATGATGCCAGTATTCATACATAGGGTAGCACCCGTTTTGATCAATTTTCCTCTCAGGACTTGGGAGAACCTCCAGAAAAGGTGCCAGTACCTAGTACTGGTGAGTACCACCACCACCACAAAAAAAAGCCCTGTATAAGGCTATAAAACCCAGAGCTGTGAAATGTTATCAAAACCGTACTCTTCTTTTGGCTCCAGTCATCAAAACGTTCTCACTAGGGAGTCACACATGGCTCCTCTCTCTGCTCCTGTACAAAGGACGCCTGGTCTGCAGTCTTCCCTCACAATTGTTTCCAGTCTTGATGGCCAGAGATCCTGAGCCAAAACTGACTTGTGCTTTACCCCCTTTCATTGTATTGCCTTAGACAACAGTGAGGAAAATATCTCCAGCATTAACCTTCCTTGATCCTGTCCAAAGCTGTCCTATAGACCCAACTGACTAATAACTGTCCACATCCAGAGTCCCAAATCCATGACTGATAGTCCCGTGGTTTCTGGGCCACAGCCTGCACACCATGGGGCCTGGCAGGCAAAGTCTCACATCTCACATGAAACTGCCTTACACTGAATCAGACCCTTGGTCCATCAAGTCCAAATTGTCTACTCAGCCTGGTAGCAGTTCTCCAGGGTCTCAGGAAGAGGTCTTTTACATCACCTTTCACATCAGCTGGAAATACCGGGGATTGAACCTGGGACCTTCTGCATGCCAAGTAGATGCTCTACCACCAAGCCACAACCCCTCCCCTCCAAAACTAGGGGGTGGTGCTTTATGGGAGCTCAAGCTGCAGAGAGGGTGGCATTGATGCAGGCAGGATGTGATGATGTGTTTATATACTATAAGGATTAACAGCACAGCACTCCGGTTCAGAGTGAGCAAGTTAATTCACAAACCTAACAGAGGGAAAGCTAAGCCATGCTCAGTCTTCCATCTCTCAGGGACCCAAAGTTCCATGTGACCCATGATCACCTTCACCTCAGGTATTTCCCAGCTTTAGCTCAGTAAGCACACTATATCCTTCTTGGAACTGAGATATGTTGTCTCACGTACCATCTATGCCACACAGTGTGGTTCTCTAAGGCTCTGTTTCTGGGCCTTCCCACAACAGCCCTGGGGATTTCCACTGTAAGAAGCCCAGGATTTTGGGGTACCTACCTGCTCCTGCTGTTTTTCTCCGAGGGGTAATCCTGCAAGGCCTCTTCTGGCTGCAGTCAGCACACCGGTGCTGTTACTGCTGCTGGTGCACACAACCTCCAGCTGTTGCTCTCTCAATTTGCACAGAGCGCGGCAAGCAAGTCCCAGCTGGTCCCTGTGAATGGCTTGCTCAGGCTCGCCCCAATCCTTTCCCCAAACCTCCAGAGTCCTGTTGAGAATGGAGGCAGCACCCACGAACTCTGCCAGAGAGACAAGGGAGTGGTTTATGCCTGCTTTATGCCATCTCTTACGCGTGCTCCAAAGGTGATGCCATCTGCCAGTGGTTCCAAATTATCTGCTTGCACACAGAACTGTTTTCCATTTTCTTGCCTCTTCCTGCCTTTCTCCCCAAATTTAAATGCCCCCTTCAAAGCCAGCTACCTATATCTCCCATTCTCTGGCAATGGATTGAGACACATAATTGACACAGATCAAGAGATGAAACCCTGAAAGCCTTAAAGCCTTTTCCTTCACTGCTCCCTGCCCCCCCCTTACAGGTCTAGCATGTCAGATCTTGTAAGATCTGGACACACACATGGTACTTATAAACTTGTCTCTAGTCTATATGCAACTTATCCATTGTTACAAGACAATCGTTGCAAAAGAGATGGTGTTGATTCAATTTAGAACAGTGACCTTCACATATCCAGAGCTGGGGTGCCTTTATATGCTTGAGATCACAGGGCAGGGTCAGGTGGGGGCTTTTGCCAAGAAAGGCTTTTGATTGGCCAATGGAGATTTGTTTGGCTGTGCAGACTTTTAAAAACATTTCTTTGCCAGCAACTGCCACCACAGGGATCTTTAGTGCGTGACTGAAGATAAACTGCAGCAGCCATTTTGTGGCTGGCTATGTCTCCTGTGGCAACCATTTTGTGGCTGCACCCACCACATTGTGTCAGAGAATTCCAAAAGTGCCTGCAGGCTCAAAACAGCTGGAGACCACCTGTACTACTTAATAGCTTAGTATGAAGAAGGGGGGGGGAGACAAGAATGTTGGTTACAACAATTTATTAAAAGCAAATCTGTAACTTAATCTCTAACTTATCTCCTTTCCATTCTAGTACATAAGCAAATTGCCCAGGATTCACAAAATTTGTTGGTTCATTATTGTGTGGATTTTTTTTTAATCTGCATGCTGGGGCCAAATTCAGAATTCCTTTCCTTCCCTTTAATCTGATTAAAGCTCCTTGATAAAAGTCTTGAGCAGTCAAAACCCCTTCTGTTAAGTAGCATCATCTGGACACAACACTAAACCAATAGAAATATCTTGCAACAGCAAGGGTGCAGTCAGACGCACCATTCATCTGGTGTCATGCCAATTCAGAAACTGATTTTATCTGCACGATCACACAGTCAACATCTGCCTCCCATCCCCAGCCGTCGCTTTCCAGCTCACGACCGCTTTAACCCGGAGTATTTTGATACCAGGTCCCCAAGTGGTGTTTTCCTGATTCTCTGGTTCCAGCTGCACTTTTCTGACGTCTGATCATCCTCCAGTGTTGAGCCGCTTCCGGTTTAAACTCCCTCCCTGCTCAAAAGCTGCCCGAGGCTTCCGCTTTTTGCCCGCCATTTTAAAAAAAGCATTGGCGGTGTGCGCATAGGCGGAGGTCCGCCACCGTGTTATTAAAAACAATGTTTAAATGGTGCCTAGTTTTAGCGTTTAGATGAGTTCAGGATCTCACGGAGGCCATTTTCAGTGTAAATGTTTAAAGGAAAGTGTTCCTTTAAAGTTTAAAGGGAAGTGTTACAGCAGTCGGGTTGAAGAGGAAATCGTTGTTCTGTGCACACACGAAAATTTTAGTTCTACAGATGGCTGCCTGTATGCATGCCCAAACTGAGAGAGAGAGAAAAACAACACCGATGCGTGTGAACGGCGGGGAGTGATGTGGCTGTGCAGTGATCTGGAGCAAGGGGGTGAGTGTGATCGCGATTCTCCAGGTTAAAAAAACCCACATCAGGGCAAGAGCAATTTAAACCGCTCCCAGCATACCGTCTGACCGCACCCCACGGGTAAAGTTAAGGACTCTGTCAGATAAAAGGAGTAAAACTAGCTTGTGATGAGACAAAGAGGAAAAATTATCTAGGTACTGTGTTAAAAACCAATTTCTATGGCTAATATAAAGAGGAGACTCCAATAAAATATGTATTAAACTTACACCTGAGAACAATCACAAAGGTGGTCTGAGTAAAGATTCTTTCTTAATCTTCCCTTCATAACCAGAGTGAGTTGTGCATTCAATCGAGATAATAAGAAAGATCTAAAATAATTTGGGATAGTTAGATAAAAAGCATAGGAAGGCAGCGATTTTGGTGGAGGAATAAAAAATAAATAAAGAGCAAACCCTGAGGGCACGAGACCATGTGCTCAAGTAATTCCTTTCTTGGGTATTCTGCTTGGTCTAGGAGGACTTAACAACTGTGGGTTCCAGGCCCTGAATAATATCAGGGTTTAGTCCAATAAGAGAGAGTTTTGTGTCAAGAACCCTGCACCAAGAGGATTTATGAGAACCTGCTTTTGATAAAAATAGGTATCCGAAGTTACTATAGAACATTTTAAGGTACAAACTGAAGACCAGTTGCCAAGCTTTAACTTCCAAGGATGGTTGACCCAATCCTGCACATAGGGACACTCCAGGTATGCATTTTGGCATGTTGGTCAACTTATGAAGGAAGATAAGTAGAGGGAGATCTGAGGATTCTTTGACTGATTGGATCCAGATGGCTGCCCTGAAAAGCAAGATAGGAACAATTTTCATAATGAAAACTTGAATCACCCCAGGTATATATCGTCCTTTGCAGTACCTAAAAAAGTTTAGGATGCCTTCACTACAAGGTCCTGCTTTCTTCAGCATGGCTTTTGGATGAGAGGAGCAACTCAAATTATATGTGGAAACTATCCCCAGATACGTTCAGAATTACATATATGATGTTGCAGCTGTGGCAGGCTGAGGGCCTTGTCTGTTAGAAGGGACAAGTAAGGGGACCCGCGATACTCGCGGGGGGGGGAGCTCCATACAGAGCAGGAGGAGGAGGCAGCAGCAGCAGGTAAGCCTCCCCTGGTCTCCTCCACCCTGCGCCGACGGCGAGGCCTGCATAGGGCTGCCAACCTCCAGTTGGTGGCTGGAGATATCCCACTATTACAACTGATCTCCAGGCAACAGAGATCCATTCAGCTGGAGAAAATGGCTGCTTTGGAAGGTAGACTCTATGGCATTATACCGCACCGAAGTCCCTCCCCTCCTCTGGTTCACCCCCCAAACCTCTTCCCTGCCCAGAGGTGGCAACCCTAACTGTGCGGTCAGCTCACATGATGATGCTCACGTGGCAAAAAGACATGCAAACTTCTCCTCAAAATTGTACCTTTTCTTTTTCCCCATTATTCCATCCCACACTTGGGCATAATAAGGCTTCAAAATGTCTTCATGAAGCATCCATGTAAAAATTACAGTACACAAACCTTATGTGTGCCTCATCCCCACCGGGTTCCAATCACAGTTTCCCAATATGTCTATATATACAGAAGAATATCTACATTCTCAGGGGGTGGCTCTATCTCCTCCGTTTTATCCTCAAACCATCCCTGTGAGGTGCGATAGTCTGAGAGAGACTGACCAGTCCAAGCACCTGATGGAAGAAGCGAACTTTTAACCAAAGTCTCTCACCTTCTATTCCTTGACTCCTGAACAGACGAAGGTGGGCGCTGGGGCTAACGGGAACGTTTAGGATTTCATCTAAGAAGCTTTCGTTTCCCCAAGCCTCATCCCCATCCCGACGGTTTGACTGATCCCCGCCTCACCTGACCCTCCAGCCAGCCCTGCTTCTGCAGCTCCTCTGAGCCAAGGCGCGCTTCATCGCCCACGTGCCCAGGACTCTACGTTGCCTCTCGACGCTATCCGTAGGGGACTGGTCGGGGAAGGTAAGACGCCACAGTTGCCATGAGAACCGCTCCCTGGCTTGGCCTTCTCCCCCCTCCCCTTCAGTTAGCGTGGCTGTGGGTAGGTCAAGGAGAGAGTGAGGAGGGGGAAACGGAGTTCTGAGTTAGGGTGATTGTACAGCGAGCGCCGGTCCCTTGGAGGAACATTTTATTGGTGGGCGTGTGAGGAATCACGCGCAATGTCGCGATTGATTTGTAGGTGTGGGAGCCCCGTCGGGGATGTTCTTTCAGCGCCTTTAGTTTTCTAACACGTGCGAACAGAGGTGTCGTGTTAGATATCTGGTTTATATATCTGTATTAATAGTTTGTCTTTTCTCCTCCCCCCCACCCCCGGCTCCGAAGCGGCTCTGGCTCACCTTCCAACCCGAAGCGGCTCTGGCTCACCTTCCTCCCGGCTCCGCTCACCTTCCAACCGGCGGCAGCGGCGGTCGCAGAGCGTTCCCTGCGCATGCGCAGGGGACGCTCTGTGAGTTTCGGGGGGATTTAAACATCCCCAATTTTTGTGCACACGTGGGGACCGCCGCATGTGCGCACAAACCTCTCCCTCCCCCCCAGGTCCCCCCGATGTGCGGATTTAAGCATCCGCACACCAGGGGGCGACTTGAGAATTAGATATATAGATAGCCTAATGATCAACAGAAGCAGCAGTACGCGAGATACAGGCTGCAACTTGATGACATAATTGGAAGAAATGCGGATTGCTGAAGATCAGAAACTGCAGTAGAAACCAACTGACAGGGCATTTGTAGGATCTATCCTTTGCTTGCGGTGCTTTAGAAACATTTAAACAGCTGGGAAGTAGAAGTATTGTTCAGTTGAAATGCTTGGGAACATTGTGGGGTGTTGCACCCCCTAGTGGGGTATTTTAATACTGGCTTAATATAGTGAATATAGAGATAATTATTTTCATGCCCTGGGAGCTTAGTAAACAGGATTGCCAATAAGCCTGCAGAAAAATGCCCTGTCCATTTAACAGAGCCTTAATATGTGGAAATGGGCAGCTTAAGCTTTTCCTGAAATGGATGTAAATAACATCCCATTAAACCTAAGGATTTTTTAAAATCTCCAGGCAGTTGGCAACCTTACAAAAATTATTA